TATGTTAATTTCTTTCTAATGTAAAGCTTAATTTTGTTCGCTGGAGACAGTTCGTTGTGTGTTCTGTTCGCGTGTAAGAATTCACATGTAATATTGCTTATGCAAATTGAATATTAAATTGAACTTGTATGAAAAAGCGAACTGCAATTGAAAAGAAAGTGTCTTCATTATGTACAAACAAAAGTTAGACCCAATACGATGGGGTGACTCATTACACTACGGCTGGTCGGGGGGATCCTTGAACCAGAACCCCCTGCCTGGTCGTGTCGTTGGGCGGCCACGGCTACCTAATCGTCCTCCTCAGCCATGATCCGCAAAGCCTCACGCCACCCCTCGGGAGATCAGAAATGTCCATAGCTGGGTTCCTTAATCGGAGGGAATAAATGGACCCGATCGCCCAGTCGGCGGCCTTTTCCTCCAGCTCCTCTGACTGATTCCGCATTTCTTCAGTCAGTGAAGCACCTTTCACGACTCTTCTGGAGTTCAGCTCAAGAGCTCGCTTCTCTGTTCGGAGGCTCCTTTTCCTGTTCAACTCGCTGGGCCATACGGAGGTCGCTTGGATCTCCTAGTCCTTCTCCCCGACCATTTGGAGAGCCTGGCGGTTGTCCTTTTTGAGTTCCTTACACTCCACGCGTCGCTCAAGCTCCGCCTTTGAAGTCCACTGTTCGTAAAGCAGCATCCTTTTGCTCAGATAGCTTCGCCGCATCAAATGCTTGTGTTCTTTCAGCTTCGGCGGACTTAGGCTTTCTTGAGCTTCGCGACCTCTTCCGTAGGTCGCTGGAACCTTCGCAGCTCCAGCCGAGTCCCTCATAGACATCCTCAGCAAGTAGAGCCTGCGAGCACGAAATGGTTAGAAATGAACCAGAACAAAATTTTAAGAACAGCTCGTTTACCTTGCTTAGATGCTTGAACGACGTGGTCATCAGGTCATCGCCCGTGTCAGCGAACTCATCGTAAGACTCCGATAGTCCACACTCGAGCAGAGAATAGAATATCGACTACAGGTACTCTGGCAGGCTCCCCAGCGAGTCCGCACTGGTATGTCCTTGCCTTGTCGGAGGTGATCGCCTCACTCGCAGGTCCTTGCCCGACCTCCTTGAGTCCCTTCGCGACCTCAAGGGCTCCTCCGGATCGGTCTCAGACTCTTCAGCCTGAACCTATTTCCTCTCTCGACCTTTGGGCGGGGCTTTACGCCTTAGGCGTGCCGGTGGTGCCTGAGCGACCTGTTCGCCCTGGTCACTTCATGCACAGGGGGGCTATGAAGGTGCAGCAGTTTGCACCGGTTGTGCATGAATGGGACGAGCAGCTTCGGCCGCTCCCTCCTCCCGATCGAGGGAAGACAAACGGAGCTCGACGGGGCTGCTCAGATTCCTTGGGGCACTAGTTCTGCATGCAAGTGCGTTAGTAAACAAAATTGCTCCGCGACCAGGACGGGAATCAACGTAACTTACCTTCCAAGGCTTCGAAAGACGCTTTGTCGTGAAAAAACCGTACTTCCGCAAGTTCGCGGTGTCACGAGCTTCCTCGCATCCGGCTCTCCTCGTCTAGTACTCCAAAAGATACGAGCCTATCCGGGGGTCAAGTAAGTCTTGGCTAGTCGTTCTGTTAACTGCAAAAGAATACAGGTCGTGTATTATAGAGCATGCGAACAGATAATATGCCTCACGAGGATAACCCACTTGGTGTCTAAAAGCGGCAGTGGCCGTCATAGCAGAAAAAAGAAGAATTTCGTCTCGTAGGCCCGCGTTGCTGGGATAGCTATGTATCCCTCGGCGATGGTAGGTTGCCGGGACAAGTAGTATGAATCCTTGTCCCTACTCTTTTTGAGGTAATAGGCGACGCCGAGCTCCACTGCCGTTGGCTCACCAAGCCGCTTTCGCAGCACGCGATGTATATCGCGACAGCGATGACATACGCATTTGGCGTGAGTTGCAGGTGCGATCCCGAAGTGATCCAGGAACAACCTGATGAAAGGATGGAGGGGAATCGTCCCTCCACCTTGAAGATCTCTTGGAGATCGCGACAAGGCCATCGGAAGGGTGCCGTGCCGACCTGGTATGCTCGAGGAACACCCCCGCACGGACGTCAAACTGCTTTTTTATCTATTAAGTTCTTCTTGGGTGAGAACGAGAAGACATCAAGGGATGCATCCTCGGGAACGTCCCGCGAGGACGAGCTGGCCGCTTCCTCAGGTTTGGACGTTGACGAATCCATTCCAGAGTCTGCAACATCGACAGACACGGTCATTTAGGCCTTCATGTTTTGTCCGTGCGGTGGCAGGGGACAAATTCCTAAAACCCTAATAGTAACTTGAGCCACCAACCACGGCTCGATTCCGCAACAGTGGCGCGTCTCTGGTGGAACGCCAGGAAACCCAACGCCGTTGCCCACCAACCAAACAAATGCAAAAAAAAAAAAAAAAAAAAAAAAAAAAAAAGAGAATCTTACCTTCTGGGATGCGTAATCGAGGCCGAAACTCGTTTCAGTTGCCTGAGAAGCGCCGATCGGAAAAGGATAATTTCTGGTTTGCAAAGGCTTGACACTCGAAGCAAAAGGGGTTTTCGTGACCTCATCTGAAAAATGTGAGTTTTTATATGGATTGCGAATCGACGGTTACCACTTCTCCGAATCGAAACCACAGCCTCCTCTCTCCCCGCATTTAATGCGCCCACGTCGCATAAATGTCGTGATGGGAGTCGTGTTCAAGTGCGTCGTGCAATCAGAGCTGTCGAAACGACGCCGAGTCAGCGCAGCGCATTTAATGTTTCTGGCAGACATTGCAGCGCGTGCAGAGCGCCTGACAGCGTGGATACAGGTTCATGAATCTCTCCAAGGCACGTAAAAGAGCGCCCAACGAATCCAGGTCGTAAAATGACGATTCCAGGTCGTTTGGGCGAGAACTGTGCGAGGTGTGTGTCGCGAAGGTCATGTCCCGAGCTTCTTCTATTCAGGTCGGAACAACCAAAACCTCCAACCGCGGCATGACTAGTTTCCAAGATTCGACCCTCAAACCTACAAACTAGGGAGCTTTGTTATGACTAAGAAATCAAAGGCTGACGTGGAGTTGGTGACGAAACGTGGCATGCTCCCATCAGAACGGTAAGCGCACGTCAGGCCTGCCAAACGTCCTGGTGCGCCCACGTGTCCGCTAACCTGCTCCGAATCGCGTGAAATCGACTTAAAGGAATGGTAATGGGATGTAAAATCAGATTAGATCCTGACAATCACACAACCCAAGGATTTAGTGATGATTACGCACATTCAATTGGGTATAAGAAGAGGAAGACCCTTCATTAAGGGGATTCGACAATTTTACACAAAAAATCTCTCTCTCTCTCACGCTTTTGTATTTACTTCCAATCTTTTGTAAGTTAGTCCGCTGTTGCGACTTGACCACACTATCAATATCAATACAAATCAGTGGAGTAGGATTTGCACCTTAGCACTCCGAACACTTTAAAAGCTCTCATAGCATTTATTTCACTTTATATTCATTATCACGCGTGCTTTTCGACCAATCAACGCCACGCACGTGACAATTAGTTGGTGCCAAAATAAGTATCACAATAATTAATATTAGAAACCCCCAATTTCAACAATCTACACTTAGAATGGGCTTGATTTCTTCTCTTTAACCAATTAAATTGCATAGACCATGTCAACTGTGGGAAAAAAAAAGTAATCATTGGTCTTTATCTTCAGCCAGGGACCATTGTAACTACGATTTTAATTTTATAGTGCCAAACCAAAGTCAGAAACCAGTAATCTCAACCGCAAGTTTCCTTTGCTATATTTTACTAAATACAAAGTAACATAGTTCAATTTTTTCCAGTACTAATAGGAATATATAAGGATCCATGATCTTCCATCCATCACAACACGGAATATTCTATCTTAAACTATTGGCCATTTTGTTCACATACAACAACAATATGTTTTCTTTATCAAGCCCACCTTCCAACTCTTATGTTGCCTAATAGTGTTATTCATTCTCCCTCTTCCTTCACGTTGGCCCGACCTGATCCTTTACAGGACTTCTGTGTTGCATACTTGAATCCTCCGTATCAGTAATGGCTTCCCCTGCAAACCTGCGAACAAGTAGTTTCGGATGATTTTTTCTGCATGGGCTGCGCAAATAGGGAAACACATCAAATATCCTGGAGCGACAGTGACTTGCTAAGTTTTCACGTTTCCAGGGCTCATACGCTGGGGCTTTTAACGAACCGAGTAGACTTTGCCCCGGTGGAATCAACCACATCCTTCACACCCCCGTGGATCTGAGACTGGTGTTGTGATTGTAGGAAAGCTGTGGTAGGATTTGAACAGGTGACAACGTGTTTCACTCAAAGGTTTTGAGTCCTGGGGAGTGTTGTGATTCCAAGGGACTGGTTCACTTCCAACTAAACGTGGGGAAGGAAAGGCTCTTGCTTTTACATCTTTCAACAGTCACTACCCTGGTGTTGTGATTTCTTCCACAAGTCTCTTCGGTTCAACGCCGTCAATTCCTAATGCGGTGTTGACCAAAGCCTTCCAGGTGGGAGATGATGTAATCAGAGATCAGATCCAAGTAACCATTTCTCAACTTCATGCATTTTCAAGATTTCATGTTAATTTGCTTCTTCACCATCCTTCAACCTCTCAGAAGTGATGGATCATTTATTGTTTATAATAATAAATCATTGCGACTGCAGTAGTGTTCAACGTATGTATGTGTACTGAACAGTGAATAAGAAGAATAAGTATTTAAAAGCATTGTTAATCTCATGGAAGTGTTAGTATCAGTAGCCATTTGAAAATTCTATTGTTTTTCCCCCTTCAAGCGCCAGTTTGCTCATTTAAGCTAATACGACACAGAGCCATCACTTGTTATGGCAATGACTTGATTCAAAGATACATATCAACAGATTTTTTTATACACTGGTAAAAAAACCCCACAAAATTATTTTTTTATTTTTCGCAAGACAAAGTAATTTCTTCAACAACACAATCTTTCAGATACTGTTCCAGAACTGAATTCAGATAAATTTTGCTTAAGAACTGATTAATAGAGTACACGTATCCAGTCAGGTGATACATAGAAAGATGAGATACATCTACAAATGATATGATCATACAAATTTAGAATGGTCTTACATGTAGGAAACATGTTCTGCACTGAAGTGTGGGAACCAATAGCAAATTTCCTCTTTTGAGTAAGTATAAAACAGAAGAACTCAACTTGCCGCTTAATCCAAAATGCCAATGAGGGTCGTATAACATTATGTTGCGCTATCGAAACCTCACAAACTGCATATGCAGCCATTCGTGTTGTGATCCATGAGCATATTCCCTAGCTGCTTGCGGGCCAAATAGCATCCCAGCAGCATCAAATGGTGGTGCCACAAGCTAACACGCCAGGAAAACCAGTTAATCATACAGCAGAGAAGTTCCGAAGATGTGATCCTATAGTTGTGTAAAATCTGGTCTTATAATAAGGTACATGTCCAACATAGGTAAGTAGTAGTACCATTGAGAATCTATGAATATATTGATTACATTAAGATGGTAAAACAGTAAAGATAAGTTGAAACATAGGGCTCTCATCAGAACAGTATTTTACCCACACTCGAGATCTAACCAACGATTATTTCTCTCTCATTGGAAAGAAGAGAAAATCCTAACCTTCCAAAGAGGTTGAATTTTTTCAATTCTTAGAAAATTATAACATTGCAGTAATATCAAAGAATCACACAACAAGACCAGTTCTCAATAACTACACTTCTTCACGCGATTAGTGAAAACTAATCATATGAATCATTTGATTGTAAATGACTAAACGTCTACTAAATTAAGCATAAATAACTGGTATCTATGTGATGTTCACTGGAATTGATTTGGTTCTTGAAACAGTCAACAAACATCTAAATTGCACTCTTGGCTCATTTCTATTGTCAGAAAGATTGGTAAGAGAAGTACTAAATTCAAATTCAGTACGGCAGCATCAATGATCACATTACCTAAACATCAAAACAATTTCACATTATTGGAGTCAATTGCTTTTATAATAAAGAAATTATTAAGCAATCAGTCAGTATCAATAGGCTTACATCTTTTGAATGAAATCCCTCAATGGTAGGACTCAAGCTCACCCTCGAATTGACGGCTTCTAACTTCATTGATAGGAACTACAAGAGTGAAAAAAAAAAAATTAAATTATTGTTTACCAGCTTAAAGAAGAAAATGGCATATGGCTACAGACTCATAAGATGGGATATCCATACCTCAACCTGCTGCTGAAGTGACTGGATGTAATTAATTATCTCATCAAGGACAAGTGCTTTTCCAATAACCTGATTGTGAGTAACCATTTATTAATAGATGATTACCAAGTCAAATGAGATTGCAGATTGGACTTTATTAAAATAGATGACAAAAAACTCAACAGTGAATTCATAATAATTTCTTCCTAAGAATAACTTAAGCAAAATTGCAGGACTAGCCAAAGAAACTAATATGTAAGTAGTTAGTCAACTGAAGATACCTTGTTACATCCAGGGACCAAATCCTGGAGAATCTTCATCCTCTCACTAATTTTTTCTCTCCTAGCCTGCAGAAACGTAAGTATGTTCCAAGTTAACAAATTATACTGTTATACCATTAGTGTTCTAAACCAGAATAACCAAAAAAGAAAATAAACATGTTAACAGTTTCAAATCTAGTAGTGTAAATGGTATATTAACCACATGGAAGCATCAGATATTATTATACTAGGTGCACTATGATGTAATTTGGACAATCAAGAGGATTGAAGTGAATTACTCTCTCTGCTAGACTATGGCTATCAGTAGCTTGGCCCCGTCTTGCTCTCACATGAATATAATCTTTTGGTGGCTCCGCAGGTTTGTTGCTTTGATCAGCTGACTTGTTACCAGCCACAGAAGTTGTTTCAGCCTCAGCTTTTGAACCACCATTTTCGTTTTTAGATCCTGATATTTTCGTTCGTTTACTATTGGATTCATTCTGCAGCAAACATAAGAAAAATCAACATAAATAAAATATAGAATTTCCTTTATCCAGAATCAAAATCAAGTGAGATTTCAAACATGGTCAAAAATAACATATTCTGAATTTGAAGGAGAGCCAAAGAACCTATATTTTGAGACACCTATAAGGTCACAGTTAACTAGATATTCATTTTAGTTGCAGTAAAACGTAGCAAAACAATAATAAATAAATAAAGATTGTCTTTCTTTTCTTTTGCTTTCAATTCTGAATTCCAAAACTTAAAAAGAAAATAGATTCCAGAAAATCTTCTGATATATAAGTCCACAATCAATAATATTCTAATATGTAGTAATAAACGTGATTATAAATATAGGTATTTAAAACTTAAAACTTAGCTTTCTCTTTGGTTGGCAAGAATACGATGACCCAAATCTAAAAACTTAAGACTTTGACCATTTGGGACCATAAAAAAAAAGGTTTTCACCCAATTGAGCAGCTATTCATAAACTCTATGCCAAATCAACAGAACATAGTCATCACGCAATTTTCTTCACTAAACTTAAAAATAAGAATAATTAGAGTAGATTAATAACAAACCGAAAAATCATACGAAAAATAATCTTCAAATTTCCGGAGGATACATGGAGTCTGCACTCAATTGAGCTAAAACGAAAAATTCCAGAACATTTTCTTTTTGCAAATCTTTTTACAACTCATTTAATTGAACTAAAATTGAAAAAAGAAAAAAGAAAAAATGGGAACTTTCCTTATCAATTGCGCAAAAGCATTACCATTCAACTTCCCATCATGTTAAATCCAAACCAAAACAAAACATATTCCTCAAAATTCACTTTTTTTGTTTCCTTTGACTTTCCCATCACCAAAAAGAAACTCAAACACAAATGCCCCCAGAAAATAAATAAATAAATAAATGCAAAAACTAAGTTAGACCCACCAAGTCATTGGCACTACTAGTAGTAGAAACAATCTTAGACGACTCATCTTCAGAGCTCACATCTCTTCTCTTCCTTCCACACCCACCACCACTCTGCTCAGTGACTGTTGATTCCTCCATCGACCCATCTCTGTGACCCGAACTCTCCCCAAACCCGTGACCCAAATTCCCCATTCGGAGCCCCGCTTCAGCACCGTGGATTGGAGAGGGCCAAATCTCAGCCAAACTGTAGGAAGATGGGTTAGCAGCAGAGAAAGAAGACTCATTTACAAGTGGAGGATCCATTTTTCAAAGAGGGGTGTTCATATGAACCAGTACAGGATTTGGATCCGGAATTGAGAGTAGAAGTTGAAGTGAACAGAGTGAAAAAAAAGATAGTAAATTGAGTGAGGTTTTTGGCAGAAGCGTGTGAGCTTTGGGGAATTGAAGAAAGATTAATAAAGAAGCAAAATAAGAGAGATAGAGAAAGAGAGAAAGGGAAGGTCTTTTTGAAGTTGAGACTTGACAGACAGGGACTGTAAAGCTAGAGTAGCAGAGTGTATGATCTTTTTTGGGCTCAAGGTGGGGGAGTACTGTGCGCACTGTGCACCCTGCGTTTTCTAGTTCTCACCCCCTAGAAAAATAAAAAAATAAAAAATAAAATTTTACTTTCCTTCAAAAAAAAAAGAAAAAAAATGGACAGATGGATTTGAGAGATATTATCTAATTTAGGTTTTAGATTTGCACGGTTTTATCCTAAAAAAGTATTTTTGGATAAGCGATCAAAGCTCTCGTTTCTTAATTGATACGGAACTTTGATACCAATAGAAAACTTCAACATATTTTCAAGGCCCATTTGGGTGGTATGTGAATTTCAGAATATGTATACAGCTAAAATGTCCAAAATTCAGTGGAAGTAATTTTTTCTTCTTTAATTTGTAGTGAGAAAAATTCAATAAATTCAAGAGGAATAAAATAATAAAACCAAGAAGAAGATAGGAAAAAAAAAAAAAAAAGAGGGAGGGTGCGCAGTGCGCATAGTGAACTTTGGAAGACATCACTTAACTTAAAAAGACAATAGCTTGAAGTGTAAAAGACGTGGGAAGTCGCAAAGCATTGTAATAGAGTGAGGTTTTCTCGGAAGATCTAATGGATGTAACATTATACCCACATGCTTCGGTATATTAATCAGTTATAAACGCTTTCTTTACTGTCCACGTGTCCCTCTGGCGTGTTTATTTTGTACTTCATCCATCCATCCAACTCAGGCAGTAGCGAGTAGATTGTCTATCGTATCCTCGTCGCGTAGACTGGTTAGCTGATAGAAGACATGGGATCACGCGCCGCAAGTTCATTGCAGATGATGAGGCATAATTTATAAAAATAAAAACAAAAATAAAATATTAGTTGGTTTTCAGGCTGTTTATCTGTTTCCGTTTTTAATAGTAATGTCGATTTCTATTATCCAATAATAATTTTGTCCCCATCAAAAATGTCAAAATTTTAATATCTAAATAATAATAATAATAATTAGAAATTAGAAATTAGAAATTTTTATTAAATAACTCCTTCTTGGAATCTTAATTGAAACATATCTTTTTTTCCATTATCTAAGTATCTTGGTATAGTTATGAGTCAAACTTGTCTAATCCTAAATGTCAAAGTCGTCAACTAGGACTTTTGGATATATTATTCAAGAAATCTTGAATTCAATCCACTTACGTTGTTAATAAGGGTGATTATTGAGAGGATTTACCCAGTTATCAACTTCAAGGTCTCAAAAAATTAATTGAGATGCACTCATGTTGGCCTGTATGTTAGAGTTGTCGACTACTTCAGCATTAATGGGTAACGGAGATGCACTCAGCATCAGCGGGCGGGTGCCCTGCTCCTCGATGAGCGGGTGGGGGTCGCAGGGGTAGCGTCCCCGAGCCCGTAGGCGGTTTTGGGCTTTTCCATATATAACCGCTGTAGGATTTCTTTTAAATTTCTAATTCCTTTTTGGGTTAGGCTTAGGAATAGGAGTCCTCGTAAAATTAGGTTTAATCTCTTAAACCTAGTATATAAACATATTTTTCTCTTGTTATGTGTGTGAGAGCAATTCATTCATTGTAAACGAGAGAAGTGAGACATATTGCAATAATATTGACTCAGCTGGACGTAGCCCATATTGGGTGAACTAGGATAAATCGCACGTATTATTTTATTTGTTTACTGTTTGTTTTGTTTTACTATTATATTTTATTCCTGTTGTTATCTCTATTTCGTTCACTGCACACCCCCGACCACTAAAAAAAAAAAAAAAAGGACAAATATAATTACACAAATGAGGTGGGTGTCTACCCTACGACTCGTACACAAAATCTCTAATATAGCTAATTCTAATAACTAAGGGGTTTTTCATCCGATTGCAAAATGAGAGGTTAAATAACATGATTTTGAAAGTGTCTATACCAAAATTTTAATTTTAATAAAAGAACTCAGAGTGATTCATACTTCATAGTGAATTGATAGACTATCTTAGAATAAAGTTATTTTTTGAAGGCTTTTATAAACATATATAATTTCTCAACCCAAATGGGAAAAAAGAGAATAAACAAATGGTGTAATTAATTCCATTCCTTGTGGCTAAAAATCACATTCCTATTACTATGGAGAGTTTAATTTTTTTCCCCCTTTTTTATGATTTTAATTAATTTATTTTCTTCTATAATTAGTATGACTTTATTAGTGAGGTATGGTTTATTGAAAATGGCAATCTACAAATTGTTTTGATGAAACACAATGGGTAAGGTTAGGTATGAAAGTATCAATCAAATGTCATCCCACTTGAGGATCTTATCATCAAAACCTGCCTAACAATTTTATTTCTTTTAGTTTTGGTTTAAATGTAACTGAAGTTGATTAATAAAAATGGAGTCGGTCGTGTTCATCATTTATGTTTATGTTGTTGTTGCTCCCGATTTCAATAATTGATATTAGAGCACCCTCTCAATTTCCAACAATATATCAAAATTTTCAAAGTGATAATTAGCATGTGAATACGTAGTAGCTTTCAAACGTATCTTTCATGAATAGAAAATCTGTAATTCATTTATCACCTCAAGTACTTCATTCTCACTGACGTGAGAAAGACTTTGCCTTCTCATTTTTGTAAGACAGAGGGAGAGAGAGATGCGTTACAGAATAGTAATGGTGGAATTTTGACAGAAGAAAGTTGGTGGGGTAGTGATGAATGCGAAAGCCCTTGTTTTTGTATTGTCAAGGTTTATATAACAGTTATGAGAAGCTTTCAGCTCAAGCAAAATAAGCACCATCACTGCTGCCCGACCCCTTTATTATTTTTCTTGCTCGTCACAAGATTAAAACTGAAGCGTGTCTAACTTGTGTTACTTGTCTGGCAGAAATTTGCATGCGAATCAATCAACAAATATTGACTCACTGGAAAGCCTCTTTCGGGTATGCCCGATATGGGTTTGGTTCAGCTTCGTGTGGCTCTAATCTTGCCACCGCAACCGCAAGAAGAGTACTCAAACTTCTCTATTGTAATTCCCTTCAAGGATTGGTGTTCTTGATTGGGTTTCTAAAACGTGGTCCTAAACTTCAGATTTGGTATGGAGATGTGAAATTTTACTTATCGTCGTCACATCTTGTCTACCTCGTAAACAAATTCCACATGCGAATTGCTAGAACGCTATTAGAATGACGTGGTTCATGGAATTTTTCAGTGTTACGTCAATAGGATGGGACTGGCACATCATAGAGCTTCGTGCCAAGAAAGTAGAGATTAAAACAGATGCTATGACCACCCAAATGAAAAAGTTTCTGTTTTGGGTGAGTGATAGATTGAGATTCAATGGGTATTCTAGAATACTCTAATTCTATCATACAAGAGATTAGGATTATTGAATCAAAGAATCCATAATTAGTCATCGTTATGTAAGTGACAGAGCTTTATTTTCTGTCTTTCATGAGGTAATAAAGACTTAAATGAAGCATTGAATAATCAATAAAAATTGGTTTATGACTCAATCTTATAAATTTTCTCCCATAACTCTAGATTGATAGCTCATAATTAGTCAACTCTCAATTAGAAAAATGGGATCCATTGTAAGCAAGCAGAACCTATTTATAAACTGTCACGTTAGAGTTATGAGAGAAAGTTAGTGAGATTTGGTTGTAAGTGTAGTATTATTCATTAAATAATATAAGGGCAATATTACACTCAATGTTCTGAAAAACCAAACCAGGCCTTGACCCGTTCAAGGCTCTGGTTCTCAGTTTGACCGGTTGAATCGATCAGTTGAACTGTATCCTTTAAAATTTTTTTAGTCCCTAAATATTTAAAATTCATAAAAAAACACCCCTAAATAATTGCGTATGAGTCTATAAAGGTTTGAAATCTATCCAAAACACCCCTATTGCACAAAGAGACTGGTGAGTGGTGGCGATAGAGATGATCGACGACCAATCGAAGTTTGGAATGATAGGGCTTTTGATGTATAGGTGTTGGCGAATCTTATGGTGGTGTTAAGGAGTTCTAATGGCACCAGAATTTGCCAGAATCAAGAAGGAAGGTTGACGGTTGCGTGAACAAAAGGTGGACAACGATCGATGGCCAATCGAAGTTTGGAATGATGGGGCTTTTGATGTAGAGGTGCCAGCGAATGTCAGGGAGTTCTAACGGCGTCGGAATTTGCCTGAATCAAGAAGGAAGGTCGACGATTGCGTGAACAATACGTGGACGGCGAGTGACGAAAGGCTAAACGGTGGCCACTAAAAATGGATGAGTTTTGTCGTGGAGATGCCGCCAGGTCCTATGGTGGTGTTATCTTCCTCGCACAATGCCAAAATCCGGCGAGATTGACTCGTGATTGGACCATGATTCGACACTATTCTGACGGTCCAACCACGACTCAATCCGGTTTGATTAAGAATACCGATTTTCAGGAGAAATCGAACCAGAGATGACACCGGTTCTTGGTCGAACCGATCGATCTAATATGGTTTTCAAAACATTGACTACACTTACAACCCAATCTCACAAACTTTCTTTTACAATTTTGACATAAAAATTTGTAATTGGTCTCGTAAATAGATCTCGTTTATCTAATTACGAACTAACCAATTATGAATTATCATATTGGAATTGTGAAAGAATGCTTGTAAGTCCACCTTTATTGATAATATAAAGTGGCTTTTTTATTTTGAAGGAGAATGGTCTACGAAGATAAAAATAGATGAGGATAGCATGCCAAGTAAGAAAGAAGTTTCTCACTTAGTAAATAATTCATAAGGACATTTGCCTAACTAATTCTTTTAGAAAGTTTGCATGTCTAATCAAGACTTACAATCATGCATAATGCATTGGAATTTTTCAATCATTTTATCAGCAACGTGTTGGGTTCTGGACATAAATCCAAAGATAATGAATACTAAAAACGCTTGAGAAATGAAAAATGAAATTTGAAATTAACCCATGTCCTGTAGAATTGAAATGAATTCAGAGCTCCGGGAGTGGGACTTCTTGGTTGGCCCCTTTCCTTTGACTAGGCCTTGCCAAAAGTTCCAGGATTACCCGGAAAGTCCTGGTTGGTAAGTTGAAGAAATCTAATACAAAAATTTGCAATTCAGCAGCACATGAGGAGGAGTATTCTTCTATCGTTTTAAAAATAATTGAGTCATACAATCAGACAAAAACCATATAACATAATAGTATTTTATATAAATTTTATAAAATTTTTATCTAATTATATTTTTGGTTATATGATTCAATTATAAGCATAACATTATTCATTGTTTTAAATATTATTAATAACAATATATTGTTTTAAAATAGTGATTAAGGATCATTCTCTTAAGAAGAACAAGACATTCGTTATCAAAAACAGAACTAGCAGTCTATACGTCTTCTGTGCTTCGAAGTAATGACGAAACGGCGACCAGTCCACCAGGCGTTCATTATTTCTCGTAAAGTCTGTGTGCTTATTTTCCACGGTTTCAACTTTCAACTTCCAAAACAGGACCTGAAGCTAGTAGAAAATTTTGACGTTTCATCTCCTGATTCAATCGTGGTTGTTTTGTGTTTCTCTCATAGTTCTGTAGACATTGAGACCTGGTCTAAATTTCACACAGAAATCCAAGCAACAGACCCAAATGCCCCGCTATTGGAGGCCCCATTCTCCCAGCTCAAATAAATAATTTGAGGACCCAGACCTATCAAAAGTGTTTGCGCAGATCAAACTCAATCATATTGGATCCATAAAAGTTTCAGAAACAGTTTAATGATCTCATTGTACCTTCCTTTTGGTTAAAATCTAATACATTGCCCATTTGCTCAGGAAGAGAAGTAGCAACTATTTCGACTAAAACCTTCTACAAAAGGATAAACCATTAACAACTCATTTGTCAAAAACCCGAGCACATTTTATGGGGTAATTCCTTGTAAGGTAAAAACACCCACAGACACTCACAGTAAGGCTGAAACCCGAGGTGTTTTCTGCCATTAATAGACCTGCATAGTTGTCGCTTGGAAGAACAGAGGTACGGCTACAATTTGCATCAAAACAATAGGGGAGTAAACCACAAATTAGATGGACATTCGTAAATTTGCCGGGCAAATGAATAACAGTAAGCATTATGAACCTGTTAGTACAATCATCATAGCAATGGTTCCAAAATAAATGCGTTTGCAGGACATGACCCTATTACTCAGAAGTGAAACGTGAAATTATTGGAATAGTAATGAGAGCATGGGCCATGGCTCCTCTCAGAGGCTAGTGATAGTCCCGTGAAAACCACAGCACACCACATCCAATTATAACGATTGGTGAAATCAAAGCAACACTATTCTGTACCATTCTCTGTACCCTGACTAATCAATTAGGTGATGAAACTTCATTAAAGAAATGTCTAATAAAAATCTGGTTAGCAAACTTTCATGTATGATTCTATTATATTATTTCTCAAGTCAATTTCAGGCCGGCCCTTAGGGGTAACAACATGTTTAAGAATCAATCTAAGACAGGGAAAAAGAAGTCTAGAGTTGAGATGGGATGGGATGGGACAGGCAATAAATTAATTCAACTGAAACATAAGAAACAAAAAAATAACAAGTAAAAGAAGCTTTTTTCTCTCTAAACTAATCCCACTAGTCATCAAAGAAACGTCTAATGGCTGCCAAACAAATGGAAAACAAAAAGAAAGTCGATTTCTTCATGTCCTACTCTTTGAGCCAAACCAATGTACAAGTTACAAATGGGACAATACAACACAATCTTGCTTTATATTTTCAAACTTTTCTATAGTAGACCAGAGATGCTGTAAATTCAACGGCTCATCCACTTCACTCTGCTTTTTGTACAGTGGTCTTAAACAACAGTATATACAACTTTTGATCCATTGAAAAATACAGAAACCCACCAACCGAATGCGTGACAAAAGACCCAAAACTTGTCCCAACGATACAGTGCCACGCCGGTCCATAAACCCCATCAAACTCCTGCAAACATTACAATCCCCACAAACTCATTAGTATTTGCTAATCAATCATAAACTCGAAAAATCTGATTTCAGATAAAGAAAAAAAAAAGAAAAAGAAAAAGAAAAAACCTCAATACTAAATAAAATTCCAACCAAATTTATATTACAACTAAGAAAATGAGTATGTGATTCGTAATTAGCAATTAGTTATTAGAAATTACCTTCTTGAGAGTGAGTGCTAGGGTTTTGGCAGTGAACTTTTCTAAGCTATCATGAGTCTTTCTTGCAAAATCAACCGCATGGATTTGCATAAACGGCGGCATGTCGACTGAAACAACCTTCACACCGCAATTTGCAAGAACACCTGCCAACTCGACCTGTGAGCCACAGAAGGATCTCCTTCGCCCTAACGAAACTGAAACTCTCTTGACATCATGCCCTTCATATAATACATTCTTCACATCTTTATCTTTCACTAATACCAGTTCCTTACAATCAACATCCTCCTTATGAACTTCCTTCTTTTTACTATTTAATGGCCCACCTTTCGATGATTTCTTCATTACCTCTTTAGAAGCTTCCTCCTTTATTCGGCTGTCTTTTTCATTTCTGGGTGCAGCTCTCTGTTGGGGTTGCATTAATTTACTTGGTTTAATGCGCAAGAAGTTGGAGGAATCAGAATCAGCAGAAACAGTCATGGCTTTGGCTTGCAAATGGATGTCTTTGGTCGGTGTGTGTTTTTGTGAAGTACGAGCTTTGTTATGGTAAAGGTTCAACCTTGAAAAACTATTGGTCATATAATAAAAGGGTTTAGATGAAGTAGAGGAATCTGGGTTCTTTTGTGTTGTTGAGTGAGAAGTTTTGGAAGAGATGTTTGTTTTGTTGGGTTGCTTTTTGAGGGTGGGATCCATGGAGGGATTAGGATCTGGGGTTGCTGCTATGATGCGCTTGTGGTGGGTGGTGTGGTGTTCCATGTAAATTGGTTGGGGATAAGGAAAATGAAGAAGGAAGGAAGAGAAGTGGGAATTGTTGCCTACTTGTTTGGGGATGGTGGAAGTCTGTTTTGTGGGGTTCATTTGATTGGGAGTTGTGTGGCGAGATCTGGGGCTGTTTTGTTTTAACATGCACAAACAAGGGGTAACGGAGGGTCTGTGATATGTTTGACCATTGACTTGATCTGAATGAAGGAAAAAATCAGATGGTTTAGGTAGTACTGTAAAACTTATGAAAGCTACTGTTGTCCTCCTAGGGATCTAACAGTCCTGCTATCAGGAGGGACCATCACCAAAAATGGCCAAAAAGAACAGTGGGGTCAATTTAGAACGGCAGAAAAAGAGAAAAGACCCAGTTACAGTTCCATTCAACCAAATCAATGAATTGAACAAACCACCTACACTGTCAAGCCAACCCCAAAGAGTTATTCACTATTAAAATCCGAATTCATTCATACCCACAACAAATGAAATGAAATGTTACCATCAATCAACAAGACCAAACAAAGATCATGATGATGACTAAACATGGATAGAATTACAAAAGGGATACAACTCAATCTTATTCTTGGACTGGATACGCAATAATGCAGTGTTAAATGACCATAATTGAAAGGCTCTTCTCATTATAGTCTCATATTAATCAAAGTAAAGCATGTACAAACAAAAAAACGAAAGAAACAATACAAAATTGTATTATGTTATATTATACCATCTATAAAAGATTTTTTATATAATTTAAATTCTTTATTATAAAGAGTTTATTCATAGAAATATGAGTCTAATAAATTTTTTATTCTTTAAATATAAATTAAATAGTAATTTTTATTCATTATATTTAGAATATTTTTAATGGTATTTTTTATTTTGAAGAATATCTTTTATACTCTCCCCTTTTTATATAAGTTTCGTTTTAAGTTTTTACACAGTTTTTAAAGAATAAAAAAGTGTGCAGAGAATTGACTTTTTCGGTGGGAAAATTTTGTTTTTCGTGTGTGAGACAGTGAAATATTAATTAAGAGAGAGACAAATTGTGAAGGAGAGGAGATGAGGGGAAGAGAAAGATAAAAAGAGAGAGAGAAGTGTGGGGCAGGGTAGAGAAAAAGGTGGAGAGAGGAGATGAGGGGAAGGGTGAAGAATGAAGAAGTGGGTCATTGAAATTTGAAAGAAGAGAACTTTACTTATTTTGAAACAAATTATTACTCTCAAAACGACACTTATATGAAAACAGAGGGAATACAAATAAAGAGCATCTTTATTAATTTTTAAATATAAAAAAATAATTTTTATTCAAATCTAATAGACTTTTTAAATTTAATGAAAATACTCTTTATTTTTAAGAAAGAGACTCACTGTGAGAGAGAATTAATAAATAAAATGTATAAAAACATGTAGTTTATTAATTAAAATTAGGATAGAGAGCAAAATTTGACTCTCTAAATATGGAGAGTCAAACTCACTCTCTAATTTATATTTTAAAGATAAAGAGTCTGTTAGAGCATCTCTAAAAGACTCTTTAAATAAGTCAAACTTTTTATTATAAAGAGTTTATCTATAAAAATAAGAGTCCAATGAACTCTTTATTCTTTAAAATATAAATTATAAGTTTTTATATATTTTATTTATGATTTATCTCTCATATTAAATTTCTTTTTTGAAAAAAACATATTTTCTTTCATTGAATTTAAAAAATCTGTTAGATTTGAATAAAAATTTTATTCTTTATATTTAAAAATCATTAAAAATGTTTTATATTTATATAAAAGATACCCTTTAAAATAAACAGCTGAATATATTCTTAGACGGAAAGTACGTGGGCACATGCCTTCTCACCATCCAAATAACATAAATTAATAAGATTCCACCGATTGTATTGGAATTATTATGCAGGTGGAGAAGCTTTCTTTGGCTTTTTCCCCAATTAAGAATCACAAAGTTAATTAGGAAAATCTCTCTCTTGAATTATCAATCGAAAGGGATGTGTCATTCTAAAACGAGAAAACAAAATTAATGATAAAAACCTTAAGAGCTACGGAAAATGATCTTACAATTACAGGTTAAGTGTACAATTCAAATCACCCACATAACCAGAGTGCGGATATGGAATGATTTTCAACAATTTTGAATTTACAGCATTTCTAAGGTCAAGTCATGAACCAATAGGATCTTGATGGTGCTTCATTGCGAGATAAAAACAGTATCGCACCAGAGTTAAGTTTCTGTTTTTCCTTCACCTGATAAATCAATAACGCGCGGGAATTGGGGCATTCACATTCCTCTGAACAAATAATAAAAAAGCAGAGGGATTCAGCAGGATATGACAAACTCAAAGTATTCACGCCAACCTGAACTTGAACAATTGGAGCATCAAACAGTAACATCAGGTATAGAAAATAATGCTTGATGTTATATCATGTGGTGCAAGCACACAGCTTCTAATTCCATGGACTTGGCTGCCAAGCATCTCTAAATACAGATGTGCCACCAGACGCTGCAGGGGAAGGAGAGGATGCCACATAATTTGTTCCTGATACAGATACTGCAGGCAAATTTCCAGGATTCCCCTGATGGCCTATAGGAGCAAAGCGCGATGGACTACCCGTGACCCCCATACTTGTTCGAGAAGGGTGTGGAACCTGAATGAAATGCAATAACAGAAAAATGAATAATGGACCTTAAATTTTTATCATGGGTATAAGCAAAAGATTTTATAACACACAAATTTGATATTGATGTAAAACTTTACCGGTAATACTACACTCACTAACTTTTTCTCACAAACGCGACGTGTCAGCTCGTAATTGGTCAGCTCGTAATTGGTCAGCTCGCAATGGGTCCCGCTTGACCAAATGCAAGCTAACCAATTACAAACTGCCACATCAACATTTGTGAGAGAAAGTTATAAAAAGTGTTTGTCAACTTATCTTTATTCAAAACTTTACAATCACCCAATGTCATTTCCTGATACTGTTTCACAGCAGTGTTTCAGGATCCAAAACATGGATAATGTAAGAAAACTGCATGTCATACTGAGGATATGTGAAAGGGCTCACAGTCAAAAGTAACTTACATTGTTGATCTCCAAAGCTAAACAAACTGTAATAAGTAAATGTTATACCGTTTAATACCATTTAGTGGGTAGTACACATCTGAAGCTGTCATGCTTTCTATTCTATCTGAGCCCATAACTAGTGCCATTATATCACTTGCTGAAGAAAGAGTGTATGGTATAAAAGTTTAAGACACTACTACACATATGGTTATGAGTAACTTCAAATATTTAAAGCGTACAGAGCATAGAGTCAAGCAGCATATTTGTGCATAGAGGAAAGCAAAAAGCCTTCAAAGCAAGAAGAAGATGTTTAAAACCTAGCAATGACCGAGTGAAAGTGTTTAATCTTTAGCAGATTTACATAAAGAAGTTTTGTTTATGCCAAATCAAGTACAAAATGATTTAGGATTCATGGTCAGCAGTCGGCACCTTCCACACTACAAACAAAGTGTGGCCAATTGAACCAGCACAAAGAAATCCTTCAATTAAATTTTTAATAAGAAACCTTCAATGAACCAATATGTATGATTCAGAGTACACTCTCTCTTAATCAAATGACACAGTGTTCCAAAGAAAATGCAAAATAGTTTTGGAAATGAAATGATCAGTTGCAATGTATTCCCTCGATGTATGGGAATGTGAAAAGTTTAACCAAAATAATACGGTAGTCATATAAGTGGAAGAAACAAAACACAACTCAAACAAATAAGGTGAAACATTTTTTTCTCTTTTCATTTTCAATAAACAGAAAAGCATGACACGCTTGGGCATTTCACTAATTTGTTTAAAATAAAAGTTGTACATTACCACACTGAGTTGGAAATAGGTAGTCCTTCTAAGAGGGGACTCTGAAGACGGTGACATGCTGCTCATTCTAAGCATATGACGAGAATGAGTATTATGGTTCGAAACATCTTCAGCTTCTGCCACTTCCATATCACCTCCTAGATTTGCCTCCGATCCCATCCTTGGTGTAGGCTGTCTGGTACTCAACCCAGAGTCATTTGTGGTATCCACTTGGAGTTGACCAGCTGGGCGAGCCACCATTCCTTGCATACAATTTCGTCTCTTTAATTCCTCCTCAGCATTCAATATCTGCGAAGAACCGCCAATTAGCTAGGTCATAATACCCAGAAATCTCGTCTAAGAAAAAAAATAAGGATAAAATCAAAGCTTACCTGCTTCAAAGCTTGCACTAGATTATGTTTTTTCGCATTCAAAGTCTGTAGCCTATCCTCAACTTCCCTTTTCCTTTTCTCTTTCTCATCTAACACCTCCACCTTCTCACTCGTCTAGCAAGTAAAACAGATACGAAATATTAACAAAAACATCACAAAAGGAGATAAGAACACACTACTTCACCATTACTCAATCAGTTCGAGGTTTTCTTTGGAGTTGACTACAACACAATAGATTTGACATACTATAAAATTTAAGCATTTTTGTTTCAAGTAAAGAACACGCGACATAAAATGAGTAAAGTTTTGGATACCTGTAAATTAGGGTTAACCGGTTCGGCAGGTTTCGCCACCACCTCCAAAGAAGACAATTTCTCATCAGTAACCGCCGTATCAACCGCTTTTTCCGGTGCAACCTCAGCTTCAGTAACCGATTTCACCGCACAATCCCCAACGTCCGATTTTCCCCGATCGTTGATTTCATGATTTCGAATAATTCCCTCGTCTTCTTTGCCATTAGCAGCATTATTATCGTCTAATTGAGGTTTAAGATCAGGGGGAGTGGGGTTGGGAGGTTGAAGTTGTTGCTTAGAGTTAGAATTAGAGTTAAGATTAGGGTTTGAAGTGGTGACATTGGGGGAGCGGAGACGAGAAAGGGCTCTGTTACGTCGGTTCAAAAGGGTTTTGAAATCTTTGAGAGAGATTTTAGGAGATGGCATTAGCCATCGACGAGGCACCTCTGGAACCCTGTGGAGATTCCCTCTGTAAAGAGAAATGGCCACCATCTTAACGGAGGATTCTTGATTTTATTCTCTCTCTTGTCTCAGGAGCTTTATAAAGTGATGGATCGCGCGTTTTTTTTAGTGAACACAAACGATTGGTTCTGTTCGCCTAATATTGACCACATACCAACTCTCAATTAATCAATTCATGTTGTTAAGTGAAGTTTACTTATAAACCAGAAATCACTAATCCCTTTGAAAATAATATTTAATTATAATAATTTTTTTAATTGCTACAAAAAATCTAAAAACATAAAACCACATGTTCATTCTGAAAATTTTGATCAGAAAGACTTAAAAAGGGTAACGGCAGATGCCACCCAAACATCTTTATACAAATCTCTATTATTTATTTCAGTACTAAACTTGGAAAAGGCTAATCAATAAGGTAAAGACAATCCAAGAATACATCTCATTTTATCTTAGTCCTCCAAAATCCATTATTCTTTTGTATATTATTCTCGTTGATGATCTGATTTGGTGTCACATTTCGAGTGTTGTTAGTCAAGTCCTTGGATGAGAACTCCACTATGCATTGCTGCCATGTTTTTGTAGATCAGCAGATAAAATGTATCTTCAAGAAGAAAATGTAGTTGTGAGTTTTGATCATGTCCTGCTGAGGAACAAGTTGACGATGAAGGAGATGGTGAGGAGAATGTGATAAAATAAACTCCTCTTCTTGGGGCATGAAGTTTTGGTGGTTAAGATCTGGCCTGAAATCAGCCGGCCGAAGTCTGCAACTCTTCCTACATCTGAAGTGGTTCACAGAAAAAATAAAAATGGTTAGTCTTAGAACAGTATTGAATAATCAATAAAACTTAGCTCACAACCAATCTTATAAATTTTCTCTCAATAACCTTTAGTTAATAGCTCATAATTGTCAACTTCAATTGGGAAACGGGACCCTTGCAAGCAAACAGAACTCATTTGTGAATTGTCACGTTAGAGTTATGAAATAAGTTTGTGAGATTTGGATTGTAAGTGTAGTATTACTCATTAAATAATTAAGGGCAATACTACAATCAATATTCTGAAAAATCGGATGGGCCTTGACCCGTTCAAGGCTCTGGTTGGATCGGTCAGTTGAACCGTATCCTATAAACTACCTTTTAGTTCCTAAATATTTAAAACTCAAAAACACACCCTAAATAATTACTATGAGTCCTAAGGTTTGAAATCTATCCAAAACCCCATTGCACGAAGAGACTGGTGAGTGGTGAGGCAGCGCGATCGACGGCCAATCAAAGTTTGGAATGATGGGGCTTTTGATGTATAGGTGCCGACGAATCTTATGTGGTGTTAGGGAGTTCTAATGGTGCCAGAATTTGCTGGAATCAAGAAGGAAGGTTGACGGTTGCATGAACAAAAGTTGGATGGCGATCGATGGCCAATCGAAGTGGAATGATAGGGCTTTTGTTGTGGAGGGTACTAGCGAATCTTATGGTGGTGTCAGTGAGTTCTAACGGCGTCGAAATTTGCCGGAATCAAGAAGGAAGGCCGACAATTGTGTGAACAATAGGTGTACAGTGAGCGATGAAAGGCTAGACAGCGGCCACTGAAAATAGATGAGTTTGTCGTGGAGATACCGTCAGGCTTATGGTGGTATTATTCCCTCGCACAATGTCGAAATCCGACAAGATTGACTCGCTATTGGACTGTGATTCGGCACTATTCTGATGGTCCAACCACGACTCAATCTGGCTTTATTAAGAATACCGTTTTCAAGGAAATTGGACCAGAGATGACACAGTTCCTAGTCGAACGGTCTGACCAACGATCTAGTCTGGTTTTCAAAACACTTATTACACTTAAACTCAATCTCATAAACTTTCTTTTACAATTTTGACATAACAATTCGCAATTGGTCTCGCAAATGAATCTTGTCTGCTTAATTATAAACTAATCAACTATGAACTATCACGTTGGAATTGTGAAAGATGTTTGTAAGATTGGTTATAAGCCAACTTTATTGACAATTTAAAGTGGCTTTTATTTAGAGGAGAATGGTCTATGAAGATAAAATAGATTAGAGTAGCAGCCAAGTAAGTGAGAAGTTTCTCACTTAGATAATTCATAAGGACATTTGCCTAACTAATTCTTTCAGAAGTTTGCATGTCCAATCAAGACTTACAACATGCATAATGCATTGGAATTTTCAATCATTTTGTCAGCAACGTGTAGGGTTCTGGACATAATCAAAGATAATGAATACTAAAAAAACTGGAGAAATGAAAAAGAATTTGAACTTAAATCATGTCCTGTAGAAATGAAATGAATTCAGAGCTCCGGGAGGGTGGTTGGCCCCTTTCCTTTGACTAGGCTGCCAAAGTTCCAGGATTACCCGGAAAGTCTGGTTGGTAATTGAAGAAATCTAATACAAAATCTGCGATTCAACAGCACATGAGGAGTAGTCTTCTGTCGTTTTAAGAATATCTGAGTCATAATAAGACAAAAAATAAAACATAATACTCCCTTTTCGAATAAAAGTCGTCATAAGCAATTGCATATTTTAATAAACTAATTTTTAATGTAATTTTTCTCTCTTCTACTCCATCTCTAATTTGCTCCTCCTATGAAAGTGCAATCGAAATGCAATGAAAAAAAAATAATAATGAGAATGTGTGTAAATGACGTTTAAAAAGAGGAGAAAGAGAAGAGATGTCATAGATAGACAACGACACTTAATTTGAAAAAAATTAACTCTCAAACGTCATTTATTTAAAACAAAGAGTGTTATTACATTAATTTTATAAAACTTTGTTGATTATATTTCGATTGTAAACATAACATTTTTTCAATTTTAAATATTATTAATAATATATGTTTAAAATAGTATTAAGCGTCATTCTCTTAGGAGAACAAACATTGTTTCAAGAACAGAACTAGCAGTCTATACGTCTTCTGTGCTTCGAAGTAATGACGAAACGGCGACCCGTCACCAGGCGTTCATTATTTCTCGTAAAGTCTGTGTGTTATTTTCCACGGTTTCAACTTTCAACTTCCAAAACAGGACCTGAAGCTAGTGAAAATTTTGACGTTTCATCTCCTGATTCAATCATGGTTGTTTTGTGTTTCTCTCCTAGTTCTGTAGACATTGAGACCTGGTCAAATTCACACAGAAATCCAAGCAACGGACCCAAATGCCCCGCTATGGAGGCCCCATTCTCCCAGCTCAAATAAATAATTTGAGGACCCAGACCTTCAAAAGTGTTTGCGCAGATCAAACTCAATCATATTGGATCCATAAAGTTTCAGAACATTTAATGATCTCATTGTACCTTCTTTGGTTAAAATCTAATACATTGCCCATTTGCTCAGGAGAAGAAGTAGCAACTATTTCGACTAAAACCTTCTACAAAAGGATAAACATTAACAACTCATTTGTCAAAAACCGAGCACATTTTATGGGTAATTCCTGTAAGGTAAAAACACCCACAGACACTCACAGTAAGGTGAAACCTGAGGTGTTTCTGCCATTAATAGACCTGCTAGTGTTCGCTTGGAAGAACAGAGGTACGGCTCAATTTGCATCAAAACAATAGGGGAGTAAACCACAAATTAGATGGACATTCGTAAATTTGCGCGGCAAATGAATAACAGTAAGCATTTAAACCTGTTAGTACAATCATCATAGCAATGGTTCCAATAAAATGCGTTTGCAGGGCATGACCTATTACTCAGAAGTGAAACGTGAAATTATTGGAATAGTAATGAGACATGGGCCATGGCTCCTCTCAGGGCTAGTGATAGTCCCGTGAAAACCACAGCACACCACATCCAATTATAACGATTGGTGAAATCAAAGCAACACTATTCTGTACCATTCTCTGTACCTGACTAATCAATTGGTGATGAAACTTCATTAAAGAAATGTCTAATAAAAATCTGTTAGCAAACTTTCATGTATGATTCTATTATATTATTTCTCAAGTCAATTTCAGGCCGGCCTTAGGGGTAACAACAGTTTAAGAATCAATTCAAGACATAGGAAAAAGAAGTCTAGAGTTGAGAGGATGGATGGGATGGGAAGGCAATAAATTAATTCAACTGAAACATAAGAAACAAAAAAATAACAAGAAAAGAAGCTTTTTTCTCTCAAACTAATCCCACTAGTCATCAAAGAAACGTTAATGGCCGCCAACAAATGGAAAACAAAAAGAAATCGATTTCTTCATGTCCTACTCTTTGAGCCAAACCAATGTACAAGTTACAAATGGGACAATACAACACATCTTGCTTTTTATTTTCAAACTTTTCTTATAGTAGACCAGAGATGCTGTAAATTCACGCTCATCACTTCACTCTGCTTTTTGTACAGTGGTCTTAAACAACAGTAATACAACTTTTGATCCATTGAAAAATACAGAAACCCACCAACCGAATGCGTGACAAAAGACCCAAAATGTCCCAACGATACAGTGCCACGCGGTCCATAAACCCATCAAACTCCTGCAAACATTACAATCCCCACAAACTCATTAGTATTTGCTAATCAATCATAAACTCGAAAAATCGATTTCAGATAAGAAAAAAAAAAGAAAAAGAAAAAAAAAACCCAATACTAAATAAAATTCCAACCAAATTTATTACAACTAAGAAAATGAGTATGTGATTGTAATAGCAATTAGTTATTAGAAATTACCTTCTTGAGTGGAGTGCTAGGGTTTTGGCAGTGAACTTTTCTAAGCTATATGAGTCTTTCTTGCAAAATCAACCGCATGGATTTGCATAAACGGCGGCATGTCGACTGAAACAACCTTCACACCGCAATTTGCCGAACACCTGCCAACTCGACCTGTGAGCCACAGAAGGATCTCCTTCGCCCTAACGAAACTGAAACTCTCTTGACATCATGCCTTCATAATAATTCTTCACATCTTTATCTTTCACTAATACCAGTTCCTTACAATCAACATCCTCTTATGAACTTCCTTTTTTTACTATTTAATGGCCCACCTTCGATGATTTCTTCATTACTCTTTAGAAGCTTCCTCCTTTATTCGGCTGTCTTTTCATTTCTGGGTGCAGCTCTCTGTTGGGGTGCATTAATTTACTTGGTTTAATGCGCAAGAAGTTGGAGGAATCAGAATCAGAGAAACAGTCATGGCTTGGCTTGCAAAT